TTTAGACTCTTGAGTTAATTTGGCCAAGAGAGTGCTTTAATGTTAATTGCTAATTACCGGAAAAAATTATCAAATATAGGAGTGTAAAACATAATAATTTAAGTGTTAGCAGACACGACCCGACCCGAACCACAACTATGGTCCACAAACACGTTGGACCAACTGACGTCTAATGAAGTGTCACAAGCATTTCCCAATAAATATACACCAAAGCGTTCAAAGTAAGAAACTCTTCTCCTCCCATCATTTGCCATATCACTATCTCTCTACACTATCTCTCTCTACATTTACTCTCTAAATTTCTGTATATGATTATAATGTTGACCATCAAAGTGTATATAATGGGGTTCATCCCTTCCCTTCCACATATCCGACGCCTCGTCTCTCATGGCTGAAATAATAGCCTTTTCACTTGCTAGGGATGGCAATTTTGCCCATACCCATGGGTATTTTATTATCCAATCCAATTGGGTTGGGTATGAGTTCCAAATAGATGGATATGGGTTTGTACCCATACCCATTTACTTGGATTAGGTTGGGTTTTTAACAAATGGATTCGGGTTTGTACCCATGCCCAAATGCAAATTACAATTTGGTATCTAAACTTAATAGATATGCATATTTAGTACCCAAATTTAATTTTTTTTACATATAAGTCCTCCAAATATTGATGGAAAATTACATTTTAGTACCTAAATTTTTTTTGGTTTTACATTTTGCTACATAAACTTTTCAAGTTTTACAAATAGGTCCAATTTTTATATGTGTAGTTAAAACACCATTAAGTAAATGGATATCCATATCCAACTCATATTCATTTAGATTATGGAAGCAATATTCATACCTTACCCAAACCTATCTACAAACCCCCCAAACTCATATGAACTTCACCCATACCCAACCCATTATCAATGGGTCTGCTTGAGTTTGGATATAATTACCCATGGATGGGTAATTGCCATCCCTACACCCCGCAACCTGAGTGACTCGACCCAAACACATTCAATTGACCCGAATAATTACCATACGATATAATATAGGACTTTGCTACGGTGACATGCATGTCACGGTGACATGCACTTTTCGGTCGACCTCATACACTTTTCGGTCGACCTCATATAGGATTAGGTCGACCTAATCTGTTGTTTCAGTGTAAAAACAGTTTCATGGTGTCTACTTTGGAGATTCATATCTTACAATTGGATAGATTGAAATTGGATATTAAAGGCTTGTTTTGAATCTGAAGTGTCCCTCTACACATTAAAGTACTTGGGAGCTCAATAGAAAGTCCAGAAGACCATTTTTTAACCTGACCAAAAGGCTATGCCAAAACTGGGAAACTGCGTGAAAATGGGTAAGTCTGGCAACGTGTTTGTCAAGCCTACTTTGGAGCTCAATTTGAGAAGCATGGATGCGAGTCAAGTCCAGGGGCCTCTACCACGTTAAATTACGTATTTTTTTATACAAAGGCAAGGCATTGGATGAGAGATTGAATATCTTTAAGGCTTCAAACAAAAGGCTCGAAGTTGCTACGAAGGCTGTTTTTCTGGCAGCTTGCTTGTGCTCGAAGTCTGCCAAAAAAAACAGCCTTCGTAGCAACTTCGACCCTTTTGTTTGAAGCCTTACAGATATCCAATCTTTCATCCAATGCCTTGAATTTGTATAAAAACATACCTAATTTAACGTGGTAGAGGCTCCTGGACTCGACTCGCATTCATGCTTCTCGAATTGAGCTCCAAAATAGGCTTCACAAACACGTTTCCAGACTTAGCCATTTCTAGGCAGTTTCCCAGTTTTGGCATAGCCTTTTGATGAGGTTCAAAAATGGTCTTCTAGACTTCCTATCGAGCTCTCAATCACTTCAATATGTAGAGGGACACTCCAGCTTCAAAACAAGTCATTAGTCTTCAATTTCCATCTAGCCAATTATATGATATGAATATCCAAAGTAGACACCATGAACTGTTTTTACACTGAAACAACAGATTAGGTCGACCAGATCCTATATGAGGTCGACCGAATTCTAAATGAGGTCGACCTAATCCTAACTGAGGTCGACCGGAAAGTGCAAGTCATCGTGACATGCATGTCACCGTAGGCACACCCTATAATATATAGTCTTGCAAAATGAAGTTCTTTATTGAAACCTAGCCAAAGCCTTTTTATTTCCAAAAGTAAAGTTGAAATATGAAATTCACTTGAAAATGTTACTTTTTATAAATTTATAAAAATTAAAATATGCACTTCATTTGAACATTAAGTTCTTTACAACAATCACAAAATTTTAACGAATATAAAATTAGCACAACTCATTATTGATAATGAATAATTAATAATTAGCATTATGTATGATATTAATATATTAAACTATAATCAAATTAAATATTCAACAAAAAATCGATTAGATATAAACTCTTATAGTAAAGTAATGTAAGTGCTAATATGATCATCTTAAAATTATGAAAAATTATGGTGTTTTCAACTTTTTGTCAAGAAAAAATAAGAAGAAATTTGTTGTTTTTAATTTTTTTAGAGAAAAAAATGGAGAAAATTTTGTACTATTAATTTATTGAGAGAAAGACGAGGATATTTTTTTTGTGTTTTAAACTTTTGAAACGAAAAAGAGAGAAGAAATTTTGGTGTTTTAATTGTTTTGTTTTTTGTGTTTCAAATATGAATCTTGAATTTTGATTTGAGAGTGATGTTGATTTGTAACTCGAATAACTCGCAACTAGATTAACCTGTAACCTGGTTACCCATAATTCGATGAACACGTAACTCTATTGAAAACGAACCCAACTAACGAATAACCTGATGAACCTGAATGACTTGTAACCAGATTAAACCCACATCCCTACTAAGCCATAACCCGATAAATCCAAACTCGATTGACTTGTAATATGCTTGTTCCGCAATCGGACTAATCCGCAATCCCGATTAAACCTGAACCCGAACAACTCATAATCCAATTGAACTCACAACCCGACTAATCCACAACCCAATAAACGTGAACTCAATTGACCCAAATCCAATTAACCAACAATCAAATTAACCCATTACCCAATTGAACCGGCCGATTGAGGCTTATAATTGTATTCGTATGCTATCAATAATGTCGGGAGGTAGAAGATGTAAAACGGAATGATCTCCCGATTTGTCGTTGTACTTGCTGATCACTTTTTGAAAAGATTCACGTACCTAATATGGTACATCTTCTGTCCTTATGGCTAGTTTTCCAAAAAAACAAATTCTTTCCATCGCCTCGGTTGAACCAAACGCGTGACTTCCTAATCATCATTATTATTACTGCAACAACAAGAGAAAGCATCATTAACATAGTCATTCCGCGGTTAGGAACGGAAAAACATCGTCCTTTGGGTTTGATCGCTGTACTTAATTAACTCCTTCCCACCCGCAAACAGACACATACTAAGCTCAGCCTTCAAAAAACTGTCCCCCCAAAATGGGTTCTGTTTTTGGATCAAATGCCCTTCTACGCGGCACTCCAGAAAATTGATACTTCATAAGCAAATCAAGTTGTAACAAGAGAAAACCAAATACTACTCATAATTTGTTTCTTTTTTACCCTTTTCTCACCCTAACACGGAGAGTAATGGTAAATATTGCTTCTCATGCTTCTTAATGCTTTGTGTGTAATGATACGCCGAATCCAATTTTTCTATCTATTTAGTATTTACTGATTCAAACTCACTTTAAATTACTTTTTATTTATTATTAGAGTGATATAGATTTGGATTTTAATTAAGAGATTTGAACGTTAAAGACCTCCAAATTCAGCACCAATGGTATTACCATTGGACCAACTCCTTTATTCTCACTTTAACATACTTAAAATGTCATGATTTGTCAGATTTTGTCAGATCTCCAAAGCAAAAGGTAATGTATCGCAGCAATTGTGTGACCTTCATTGGCTCAATTTGGCCTTGCTGTAGCTTTTGCAAAAGTAGCTTCTGAATTGAGTTTTTAGAGAAGTACTTTTCAAAAAAAACAGTTGAGTGTTTGGCTGAAAAACTATTATAAGTGCTTTTTTAATATGAGAGGTTGTGTACGATGAATTTAAAAGACTTATAATATAAACTATGAATAATAATTTTAAACAATAAAATGTAGTCAAAATGGATCTTATTAGACTTCTTTTATATTAAATAATATGATTTTATAATTAATTTTATTTTTAAAATTATATATATGAAATAAAATTATATTTTCTGAAATAAAATTAAAATATGGTAAGGATAATCTTGTATTTTCAAAACAGCTTTTCGTAGAAGCTCCAAATCGGAGCTTCTGCTTTTATGTTATACAAAAGCATTTTTCGGTTTTTCAAAAGCCGAGGTTTTAGAGGTGTTTAGCCCTGCTTCAGCTTTTGAACCCGAAAAACACTTTTAAAAAACGGGCCAAACATGGGCAATACCACTTATAATAAGTGTTAATAAATTTGTGTGTTTTTTCCAATGATTAAAAAACGTACCACATTGACGGTTCGACAAAAAAAAATTATTTCGGAGACTAAAGCGGTTGGCGATATTTAACGGTTGAACCACGATTTCAGCATAAAATACTTTATCGCTGACTTTTCGAGTAAGGCCTCCGATACCACTTTTTTATCATTAATTTTTTACTTTTTTTTTTATATCTACACCCTTAACCAAATCAATATTACAAAATGATAGAAATTTACCTTCATTTCGATAAGGACTACCTATCTTAAAAAGTACCATCGTACTCCCCCACCCTATATATATAACCAAATATACATTAAACAAATTAACCAATTGTCAAAACAGAAACCCCAAAATACACCCAAAAAATCTTCTCTCTCTCTCTCTGCCCTTTTTCTTCCTCCCCCCTATTTCCATCCTCTCTCTCACTCTATCTCTGTCTGTCTGTCTTCATCAAATAGTTCCTCCCCACCACCATATCCTTCCTCCATATATTCATCAATTCCTCCCTTCTCCCCTTTCCCCCCTAAAAAAAAACCCTCTTCTTCCCCTCTCTTCTTCTTCTTCTTCTTCTTCTTCTTTTTCTCTGTCTCACTCTCCCCTGTTTCCCAAATGTCCATCAACAATTTCTACCACCAAATCCCATCCGAACAACAACAACAACAGAACCAGTGGTGGCAACAACAGCAAATGGACCCAAGCCCATCAACACTCCCAAACGCTTCCTCTTCCTCCAATTCCTCCTCCCCATCCCCTTCCCCCTCCAATTGGCCGCCGCCGCCGCTCCACCACCAAATCCCCAATTGGCTCTCCTCCTCCTCTGCCGCCGCCGCCCCCAATTTCAACCTCAACGCCGCGGACGACGACTCCCCGCGGCAGGCGGCGGCGATAGAGAAAGAAGGGATGTTCGAGAAGCCTCTGACGCCGTCGGACGTGGGGAAGCTGAACAGGCTGGTGATACCCAAGCAGCACGCCGAGCGCTACTTCCCTCTGCAGGGCGCCGACGCGGTGGAAAAGGGCCTGCTACTGGGCTTCGAGGACGAGGCCGGGAAATGCTGGCGGTTCCGCTACTCCTACTGGAACAGCAGCCAGAGCTACGTCCTGACCAAAGGCTGGAGCCGATACGTCAAGGAGAAGCAGCTGGACGCCGGCGACGTCGTTTTGTTCGAGCGCCACCGCGGCGACCAAGACCGGCTGTTTATCGGCTGGAGGAGGCGAGGCAGCGGCGGCGCGAGTAACAACAACAATGTTAGTAGTAATAACGCTGATCATCATCCTCAGCAACAGCAACAGCAACATTACTACAGTCAGGCGGTTGGCGGCGGAGGAGGGGGATGGGGGAGAGGATCAGTGGTTGGTGGTTCGGCGGTGGCGCAGCCTTATCTGGAACACGGTGGCGGTGGCGGTGGCGGTGGAGGGATGTTGTTGGCGCAGAGTAATGTGGGATACCAACAACAACCTGAGTGTCTTCATGCACCAGGTATTGCCTTCCTGAATTCATTTTTTTTCCCCCTTCTTTTTGTTCAGATTCCAACACTTGCCCTCCTCGCTTCCTCTTTTTCATTTTTCTCACATTCCATTTTTTTTTTTTAATGAAAACTCAAATTTTTAAAACTTAAAATTATTTCCATTTCATTTTAGAAAGAAAAATTTGTGATAATAATTGGGGTGGTTGCTTGCATCAATGTGGGCGTGAGAAACACCTTCCAAATGCCTTGGAGCAATGTGGTGCTTCTATCTATCCATCCCTCCTTTTTTTTTTTTTTGTTCAAAAATTTAATTTTAATTTCTTTTTATTAAGAAAAATTTGGTGGTAAGAGTTGGGCACTGAAATTGGAGGGGTCGAGGAGGATGAGGAAATGCTGTGTTCAGAAAATCACGTGTCTGCTTGTGTTAGAGACAATGTTTATAGTCAAGTCATTCATTGTTGGGTAATTGAAATGTTAATTAATTAATAAGTGCAAGTTGGGGGGTTGAATATAATTGAGTATGTGTAATTAGTTCAAATGCATCATGTGATTGTTAATTAACATTTCATAAGAAGAAGAGGTTACGTGTTAATATTATTTTATTTATGGGGAAGGAGAATGGTACTAATGCTGTGTGGGGGGAAAATGTGCAGGAAGAGGAGGAGAGAAGGAGACAAGAGGAGCGGCGGGAGGGAATTCCAGGAGGCTGAGGCTGTTCGGTGTGAACATGGAGTGGCAGCCGGAAAATGACGACTCTTCCTCGTCGACGGCGGCGGCGGCCTCCTTCACACCAGACCTTCATCTCCAGGTGCCGAGTGCTTATCCGCCGCCGCAGCAGCAGCAGTATTATTCCCAGCTTCCCTATCATAAGAATAGTAACTCGCCTCCTTCTTCTTCCTCAACCGGCCCAAATCACATGGTCAGATACACTTAATTACCTTGATTGATACCCACAAATCAAGAAGAAGAAAAAAAAAAAAAAGGGACAGGAAACTTTCTTTCCATTTTCCTTTTACAGTTGGTATTGGGAGGTGGAGGTGCCAAATTCCAAGTCCAAGGTCCAAGTCGTGGCGCTATAGCGGCTAATTTGATAATTAAATGGTTGTTTCTTATGGTGAGACAGATAGATTTGTCGCAATTAATTAAGGATTAGCGTGCTCATTAATTAAAAATTTAGTCTAACTAACCTACAGCTGATCAGGGTGACTGAGGGGGGATAATCTAGGTCGCTCTCATTCAGTTACCACTCCCTTTTACTTGTATTAAATAAGTGGGTTTTAATTTCTCTTTTTTTTTTTTTTTTTCCTTTTTGGGGTTACTAATTTAATTAGCTTTAGCATAGTAGTAAGTAGGTCGCAGATCTGGGATTGTAAAAATATCATCTGATGAATTTAAAAAGGTTTTCCTTTACAGATGATGGGGCCATGCAATTTGCGAGCAATTAATAATAAAAATAGATCCTTTTGTATGAATGTATGTACGGCCAGTCTGTTATCATTTGACTAAATTGCCAGCCAGCCACCCGCCATCGAACCGGGTTTCTTTTATCTTCTTTATTATTTTATTTTTTTGCGGTTACGTATTTTGTTGGGTTTCGATTCCCCCTTCTGTTGTTTTTGTTGTTGTTGTTGTCCTTTCTTGTGTGTGTTATAATGGGAGTGATGAGTGGAGTCTGTTAAGTACATGAAATGATGAAGTTATAGTGTTGAAATAAGACACGAAAACGAGACCGACCAAATCAACGACAGAGAGAGAGAGAGAGATCCAGCAGGTTCTTTGTTCAACGCTGCAGGTGGTGATTAGTTTGGGTTTGAAAAGGGTGGTGTATGTAATGTATCTGTCTTGAGGGGGAAAGTTGGAAAGCAACCAGCAATATCAACCCAACAAACCAAACCCATTGCTGTCATTCTAACTTACATGAATCCTAAAAAACTAACACGTACCATATATAGATAGGCCATGAGGAAACCTACAGGGTTGTCAACACGTGGGTTGATCTGTCGGTTGAGCCACTTTGACCCTGACCCGGTGAGAAAAAGCGGACGACACACACCTGTTGGGTCGTCCTGTCGCATGATTGCCGAGTTGGAGGCCATACGACGTCATTTCTTTCTTTGCTTTGCGAAATACAACTCTTCTCCGGTTTTTCTCTCGCCTAACCCTATCTTTGAATTCTAAGTTGAACATTGGTGTTATATGTGTGTGAATTTTCACTATATATTGGATCCAAGTACGATCTGTTGTTTTGGTGTAATGTTATATGTTATTACTCATATGTTAGATGAGATTTGATATAATTTATAAATGTATGAACAATATAATGAGTTTTTTTCATATATCTGAACTAATCCGAGTTAAAACAATTAGACCATTAACCCTCAACCATTTTTCTCGACCAGAACAACAGGCTAAACCAGATTAACAACCTTGCAGAGATACATCCTTGTGATCAGCAGCAGTCTTTTCTCTTAATAAAAGATGCATGTGCCGTGTACATCAAGCAATAGTTTCTTACTTTTTTTTAATTTGGCTGCGAACTGTTTGATTGTATTGCAACTAGCTAGGAATCGAGTTGCCTTCTAACTCCATTTCCTCCTTAGGCGAAACCCACAACCTGGTCAAACATGAATCCATCGCCAGGCTTTCTCTCTACATAACAACATAAGCCTGTTACAATGTTTTTTTGTCTTGTTAAAACCCAAACAAATTAATCGCGGTTTTGTTGAACTGGCCAACGAACCTTCCTTTGATTTGGAATTCTGGCTGGCTGGCTGGCTGGCTTCCCAACCCTTTTGTTTGATCGTCAAAGGTTGGATTGGATGCATTGTGAGTGCTGTCGCACGCGAAACAAGTATGAAATAAGCGGATCCCTCTTACTTATATGTAATAATTAAGACGAGATTCCTAATAAATAAAGGAATAAAACAAAGTAACACAAGGATGTTTGTTAGATTATCGTAATAGGGTTGCTATTAAATACCATAATAGTAATTTAAAATAATAATAGTTTAGTTGGGACTTGGTACGAGACCAGGGGTGGACAACGATACAGTTCACACCACATATATATTTCGAAACTGATTGAATATTGAATATATTTCAATTCGATTTTAGTCTTATGAATATTTCAAGTATGAAAAAAAAAAAGAAACAAAATTGAATTTTTATCGGACCGAATTGAACCAAACATACTTTTTTATTTATTTCTGATCCTCATTTTTCGTTTGCTTTTAATATGATCATATCTCAATTCGATTCTGTTATGGACCGAATGAATCGATGTCCACGCTGTACGATATTAGCAAAGGCAGGAAGTTGAGCTGTTCATTTACACGCCGAACCGAATGATATATGAGGGTAAGGTAAGTGGATTTGGGTTTGGCCATTTGTCACATCCAGAAGGAACCGTCCCCAATAATAAAAGGGAAAACGACGTCCCAAGTGATGAAGTGGAATGTGAATTTCGTGTGTCTCAAAACCAATATGCAGAGGGAGAAGGAATGATTAGCAACCAAAAATGGGGTCAGACAACTATTTAAGTTTCTTGATTTTGTAATGAGTACGACATACATAGTTAGGCAAAAAAAAAAAAAAAAAGGTGGAAAGACAGATACATTGCTGATGTTGATGATGAGCGGGAATATTTCGAGGAGCCTTACCTTCCAAAATTTAAATAATAATTAAAAAGCGATAAAATCACATAAACAAATCGTAATGGCATTTTCCTAGAAATACTGTAACATGTATTCGGTATCGTGTTCAACAAAAAAAAATTCTATATATTCTATTAGACAATCATTTGTGAACTAATTGTCAACTTAAGTCCGAAACTTGTTCTTGATACAGTCCAAAGATGAAAAAAATTCTTACAGGACTCATAATTGCAACACACAAAATCAATACAAGTTTTATAAGCAAGTAGATCGATGTCTATGATAGATTTTACTTTCACCTTCTCTATCATCTCAGCTAATTCTTTAATTCATTCTAATATAAATAATCTATCATCATTCTAAGGCAATGGTGAAAATTTCCAAACTACCATAGATGAAGAGGGCTGAAAAGGGAATCAAACTCATTATGATAAAATGAAGCAAGACTTAGGAGATTCTCCTTGTCAAAACTCAATTCTCCAAGCTGAAAGCAAGTCATGCATTGAAGAAGAGGGAGTTGACAATCCTTTTGCTTTCTTTCTTGGTTGGTGAATGACAGAAATGGTGGGGGGGATTTCAGTTTTGTGAGGTTTTGGATGAAATTTTGGGGGATTGAATTTTAATTGGAATTTGTCTGAGTTTATAAATGAGTTCAATAGCATAATCGTAGCACAATGATGAGTAGCAGTGTAATGGATAACATGTTAATTGATAATTGCAAATCTGTGTGTTCAAATTAAAAGAAAAATATCATATTTTTTTTCCAAACTATCATAGTTTTGGTCTGTCAGTCTTTGTCAACTTTAGTTTTACAACACTCTTGTTCAAGACTATTCTTTTCTCCTCCCTTTTTTTTTTTCTATTGATTATTTTTTTACCCTGAAGAACAACGTGAAGATGAAGAATGAAGAGTAATAGTGAAAACAATAATGTGGCAGGAGTGAAGTGAAGTGAAACAGTAGAATAGGAGATCACATTGTGGAGTGGAGAGGAGAGGTGAAGCAGAGAGACGAGGATAAGATCTAGTGGATGTGACTATTTATGTATACTACTTTTTATTTATTTATTTTTTTACCGCTCTAGTCTTCTCCCCTGCCTTGTTTTTTGTAAAATTACTGACCCATTCTTTTCCCAGTCCCACACCCTGACTGTCACTGACCTCTGCACAGATTAGATAAGAGAAGGTAAAAGAAGCAAAACGAAGGAATTTTTCACACGAGAAAAATCCCACGAATTAAGGCGCGAAATTCTCAAGGCCCAGCCCTCCCTCTGGGTTCGGATTGGAAGGGTGGGGCAGTCAGTCACACTCACGACAGGACATCGGGCCCACTAATGTGGCTTGGGCTTCTGGAGTTTGTTGGGCCCCTTTCGAAAGAAGTGGGTGCAGCTACAGTCATGACGTCACTCTTAAGAGCAGACCCAAGAATGAGAGAGAAAGAAAGAAATACCTCCTGGAAACGGGGATTGGGTTTAGTTTTACTACTGTTGTGATTCTGTCTGCTTTCCTCCTCTCATCCTACTCATAATCAAAACCGGAAACAAAAAAAAAATCAAAATAAAACAAAACAAAACATAAGCACTCTTGATTCCCATGCTGATTGGGGGTATTAGTGGCGCGAGCTGAATATGGTTACATCATTAATTAGGTTCAACGACATCAAACGTTGTAACATTTCCATGCACAATGTCGATACGATGCATCCAATAGACGCGCGAGCTGCCCATACTAACGCTTATTCGATCAACACACTATCAAAATTCAGAAGAGCAAAGTCATAGCGGTCGAGGAGATAAAATACTGTTCAGATTGCATGAAAATGTAACGTAGTAATCCATACGATACAATGAACCACCCAATCTAGCCTTCCCTTCCTGTTTTATTCCTTCAATTGTTCATTTCATTCCTCGACTGTACTTTCCCTACCACTATACCCTCTGTTTATCACAATACATACACAGATAGGCACTGTTAGACTGAGAAACAAAAATCAGACTTCAAGAGAGAGAGAGAGAGGGAATTATAATATTTTTTTTTTGGGCCCATTTTCCCCATGCTCCCTGTCTACCGCTTACTCTACTATTCTCGCATGAACTCTGCAAATGAAGATGGGACAGAAGGGGATAATAAAAAGCAAAAATAAACTGAAGAGGGTTTCATATACTGTTTGGGGACACTTCATTTAAGTGTGTGGGCACTAACTTGGCTTGTCAGCCAAGAAACAACGAGTACTGTTACTCAGAATTTTACACAAAACAAGAAGGCCAAACCAAGATACGCATGTACCAATCCTCCTACTCTTGGATTTACCTTGTACAAACTTTGGGCTGGGTTGTTCTTCTCAGCATGCTGGCTACAGTTGAAAAAGGACAAACAACGAGGTAAAAAGTTAGAAAAAAAAAAAGGGAACTAAGTACAGTTTCTTCCCACTGATTCCCAACCCAATGAAGCTCTTTCCCCATTATTGCGACTACGATTGATCTAACATGCGGACACGACTCCCCTGCATTTCTGCTACCTCCCACTAGCAAGCAAGGGAATTAATTCACCCACCAGCACCAGAACATGGTTTGTATACACAGGAATTCAACTGAATGGAGCTTCTGCAGGAAACGTCCCTGGTGAAATCAAATCATCAAACATTCATACACAGAAAATTTCGTTCCAGTTAAGACTAGTACACTGACAAACAAACTTTCCTTTCTTCTTTACGTAGGTTGCTTCATTCTGCAAATCAACCCACACTTCACTGTCATGAAGTGAGAAGATTTTATGCAGAAAAAACAAAGACAAAATATTCTGTTCACTGTTGTGAGAAATGAACTGTTGTTGAAAAATAAGAAAATCACTCTGTTGAAAGTTACTGCTGGAATTGACGTTCAGGTCAATAAGAAAGGTCATGTTTTCCCAGGAACTTTAAAGAGGGTCGGTCGGTCCATGGAGGAGCATGATTACCATACTCAAAGATAAAATAATGCTCATGTGTGTTACAGAATCAAGCACTAATAGCTTTGACCTTTCCGTTCTTCCCTTTGGAACATTTTTCTTACTAGATCCACCCAATAATAGCAGGAAAGAATAATAATAATCATTAACCCACTCATCTTTCACAACCCTTGGAATTTCCTTTCAACAAAAGCAGCTGATCAGGCTGGATCCTATGTGGCAAAAGGTCCCCAGTTATCCCACTTTATCTGGGGGTCCTTTCAGTTACAGCTCAACCAGTAACCCCCCAGCAGTGAAATTGTCTATTCAGACCCAATATATTGCTCTCCCAGCATTATGGGGTTTGTGGGTATTCCTATTAGATGGTGACTGAACATTGCAATGAAAGGCACATGCTTAACCCAACTTGCAGATGAACAGAGATGAGCCACATAATTATAATTTTGCAATTAAAATTCTGCAACGGGAAAAGAGTTTTACAGACATTGTGTGCGTACCTGAGAGTCCATGACTGGAAAGAAAATAGCGTCCAAGGTGATCTGCAAAAGGGCCCATAAAGATTTTCATGAACAAGAGATATGCCCATTGACCTTGGCTCTCCATTAGTGCTCTCTGTACCAAGTGGGGATGGAGGGTCCGCAATATAACAAAGGAAAATTTGTTGCTATCATTGGCAAAGAGGCAGTATTGGCTAATCAAAGGAATAATGAAAGGACCCCTTTCAGTACCAGAAGATTTTGTGTTGCTGGATTGAAAGGAATCATGCATGAATGAAGGGCAGTAGATGTGTAGAAATACCATGTGGGTAATCAATCCTTTCCCTCCCCTGCCCACTCGGCCTTTTCCCTCTTGAGAAGCACTTTTCTTAGTGCCATTTGTCAAACTCAAGCTCACCACCAGGTCCGCAGTACCTAACAAATAAACAGGATATCTTGGTGACCAGCATGCGCCAAATGAATACAAAAGTGATAAGTAATGCTAATCTTATATGGACACAGCATAGTACATGCTTACCAAAAAGAACAAAAGCTTTCTCGACTTGTATAAAACTAAAACCACAAGTTGATTCACTAAGGAAACTAGAGAATCTAGAAGTTTTGGTAGTTGGTACATCATTTTCTTTTGGTTGCTTACTCACCACAGTTCATCTGATTGTAGGAAAAATATGTACAACATCAGGAAGACAAAGAATGCAGTTGCTTATCAACCTAGATTCCATCTTTGTTTTCTAGAAAGACAAAATGTAGTTGCTCGGGTATTAGGAATGGCATTGTCATGCATAACTAAGAAGATGGGGACCAATGGCCATGTGCCCAGATAGGCAGGTATAAGCAGCCAACATGTGGAATCCCCACCAGCTACCATTGGAAATTATACACACAAAATGGTGCACTAACAAATCTTACCTTTGCAGTTTTCTCATTTGTGTGAGAAACATATCAAGGAGGAAAAGAAGATCAACAAACTGCTGCTTAAATTCAGTTTAAGGAATGACGGGTTCTCTGCTGGGTGAAACCTGTTCAAGAAAAGAGTCAGTATTTTTTCAGGGCTGGGCAATAGAAATCAAACTAGAATGCTTCAACGATTCCGTAAGTCCTTAGCATGTTAAGCAAATACAATAATGATAAACGATAAATAAATAAGTAACCATCAAAATGGGTACGGCAGAAAATAATGCCATCAGCACTCAGCAACTGTTACCTCTTTAAGTCCGTAACTTGTGTTCCATAATACAAAATCTGGTTAAATACAGTCATGTATCACCATCATGAAGATAAATACAATGTGGCTAATTAAAGCCTACATTCCCAGAAAAAAGGACACATAGTATTTCTTCCATAAGTAAAATGGCATTGTGATACAAAGCTATTCTACAAACTCAAACCATAGGAAAGAGTCATTACACTGAAAGGAGGAAAGTTTACTCACTCAATCAAAAAACTTATATATACATCAAGTGTTTTGGCATCTTCAAAATCACAACTTGATTATAGTAAGAGCCTTGTGCTGATCTGACATGCTAACAATTGAACCCCATCTAGTTCACTTTTTGCAAAAGATCAAAAATTGAGTCAACACTTTCACTGAGAAAAGAGCGGGTACTGGTTGATTAGGTGGAAAGGGATGATCAATCTGATTTGCTTGGGGGGTCTCCCTCTTGTCTTTTATCAGCTTCTTCCTTCTTCTCAATAACCTGCTGGACACCTTCCTGATATCCTTCTATGAAACTTTTCAGGGCATCTCGGTATGCAGAAGCTCTTGTCATGTACAACCGCTGCAAGGCTGGTTTCAAGGTCTCGGCACCTCCCCTTGCAGCCACCGCTATAATTCATTTCATGGTTGCAAAATAGTAATTAAGTTAAGAAAGTGAGCATGTAAACTGAGATGGACAAGAGCACTTGACAACTCAATAAACCAGTAGATGAAACAGATAACAAGACAACTACTTGACTACTACCTCTATGCTACAATTAACAAACGATGAACAGAATGAAACATCCAAATGGCCAAGTATGGTGCATTCCTACAAACCAATTACATAATGGTACTTGGGAGTAACCCCAGTCTGAACTTCCTTGCCTACATATAATAAACAATGAACACAAAATCCCCAAGATAAGCTCGAATCACATCATTGTCATCATGATACTGTAAAAGAGATGTTCAAGGCATATTACTACAAATGACAGTGGCATTCATGCAGCCATAACTGCAATGAAAGTATTGGCTTACCAAGATCTTCAAGCACTGATGGTTCCTTCTCTCCGGAGGTAGTGCCCTTTGTTCCATCTTGGCCCTCCTCTCGCTTCTTGTAATCATTAGGCCGAAGGTCAGGACCTATATCCCTGACCCAGCTCGCAGCATAAAGCCTCGTCGCCTTCTTCAGAACCTGCGGAAAAGAAAATTGAAATCCAAGAAATGGCCGCTTGATTACCGTCGAGGCTAACAAGGAATTGGAAGTTGGGAGCAGGAGTAAATGAGAACTTACAAGGAACCCCTGGTAGAAAGTCAATTTGGGGCGTATTTTGGTGCCAGGAGGGTCGGGGAGTGAGGAAGGGAATGCGATTTCTTTCAAGTCGTAGCGGGCGTAATCGTACACTTTCCGGAGCACCACCCTCGCCTTCATTTCTCGTCTTCTTCTAAGCTTTTCCGGCTAATCTCCGACTCCGTCGGCTCTATTTCAGCTGTGCCTTTGCGCCGGTATCTCTGTGGGGACAGTGGGGAGAGGAACTGAGACCGCGGACCGGCGGCTTAGCAGAATGACGCAGTCGTTTCTATCACCATCGCCGTCGCCGAGGAGAAAACCTTCAGCTCCACATTAAAACAGGCCTGGCCTTGTGCAGAAATTAGAATGTGTAATCGGGCTGGGCTAAATCTGTATTACGATTATGTCAATGGGTCCAATAGCTGAAGTTTATGTTTCATCAAGCCTAATTTTTCTATGGGCTCGATTCAGCCTGTTACACTTCTAACTTTCCAAAAAAGAGATATCATGATTACTCCTAAAATTTGCTAATGGGTCTCTTTGTTTTACATCAACTATACATATCTTTAGCCATTTTGACTTGGAATTACTTGATATTTACTCAAATGTGCATTTAGTCAAAGGTTTGTTTTTATACAGTTATGCCTTTTTGGGTAGTATTTTGATATTTTAGGCCATGACACCCTTGTATCACCTCGTACGAGTAGTAGACATCAGGACTCGTGGACTGGAAGTAGGGATGGCAATCAAACTCATGATCGGGGTACCCGACCGTCCTGACCCAGTCAACGCGGTGAATACCCGCATTGACTGGTATGAGGCGGGTAAGGGTAAAACCCGCAAAAAGTTTGATGGATATGAGGCGGGTATGGTTTTAGCCTCCCCATACCCATACCCGCCCCATTAAGTTGAAACCTATCAATGATTGTGAAGGTAACTTAAGACAATATATAGTAGAAATGCAATTGAGTGACCACTCCAATAGTCCAATGTAGTCAAAATCGCGCTTTAAAACTTACAAACTTACGATTTTACGTTTCTAGGTCACTAAAACGCTTCTACACAAATCTCAGTTTTTATAACTTATGTAGTTAAAAACTCCGCTTTAAAACTTACATTTTTACGCTTCTAGATCACAAAAACATCTCTACATAGAAACTCGCTTTTGACTACATTGGGCCACTCAATTCCAAATCTAATTCATTTAACAAGATAATTATGTTAGTTAAGTATTACTTAGTAGATGTATTAGAGTTAGAAACTAATGATTTGGAAAATATTATACTCTATCTTATTAATTAATAGATGTTTTAGGATGATACGATTTGAATTATATTAAGAATAATTGTATCTTTGTTGACTTAATGATATAGTAGGTTCGTTTAGCGTTATAATTAAACATTTACATGTAAAGTCTTATGGGTACCCGAAACTCACGGGTATGAGAATGCATTTGCAAAATCCTCTCCTGCATGGATATGGGGCGGGTATGGGTTTGAATATTTGAAAGAGGGGATGTAGATGATTTAGACAAACCCGCCCCAAACCTGGCCCATTGCCATCCCTAACTGGAAGTAAAGGAGGGGGGGGGGGGAGGGGATTGAAGCCCAAACTTATAAATGGCACCAAAATAGCTTGTTAAAGCCCAATATGGTGATTCTGGCCCCATTTATGAAAAGGGTAATCTTTTTTACTCTAACTAATGATTTCTTGCGGGTAAATGTCACGTTTGGTCACTAGGTTTAGTAAAATGTGTCATGTTTAGTCACTGGAAAAAATATCAATGTTGGTCACTCGAATTAGTAAAATGGTTCACATTTAGTCATTCTCCGTTAGTCTCCGTTAACAACGTCAGTCAATTGCTTAAGTGTCTAACAGAAGTTATTGACTCATCCTTTTTTAACCCTTCACATCACCAAACCCGACCCGCCATGTCACCCGACCCGCCATGTCAACTGTCCCTACATAATCCTTAAATCCAACCAAGCTATGAACTGACCCATCTATCCCTCTCTGTCTCTTCTCTTTGTCTGTCCCTCTCTCCATTGATGTCGCAATTTCCCTGTAGAAAGATCGGCGGTGGCAGAGGAAGAAGAGGAGAAGAGTTGTTAATACGTTGGCAAGGTTAGCGCCGTAGCGGCCAAGAGCGACGGGAAATCTACTTCTTCCCGGCCGAACGTGCGGAATGTCGAGTCTACCCCTCGCCAGTAGGGATGGCAATGGGTCCGGTTGGGTCGGGTTTTGCCAAACCCAAACCCATGGGTTTATCCGTGAACAAAACCCGGGGTAAAACCCATTGGGTTTGAAAAACTCAAACCCAACCCAACCCGCTGGGTATTCGTGGGTTTATGGGTACCCACGGGTTTTTGTCATAAAAAATTTACAATAACAAGTTCCTATCAAAATTAAAGTCAAATATCAATCTCTCAATACAAATTATCCATATATAAAACACCATTCTAGAAAATTCAAGCAAATCACAAATTAACTATACAAATTGTTCAACACCAATATAGAAAACTCAATAAAATTGAAGCAAATTAACTATACAAATTATCCATAAATAACATGATTAATTGAAAGCTTCTTCCTTTCAATTAAGTTTCTTCACTCTCCACTCGATGACATCAACCTCATTCTACACAATTAGAAAGAAAAATTTAGACATGTCTCCACAAACATAAATAAGATTAGTTGTTTAGAATATTAGATATACCGAGAAAATTAACTATATGGATGTGGGCGGGTACCCATGGGTCGGGTTTACCTAAACCTAAACGCAACCCGGTAAATAGTTAACGGGTTTAAACCCAAACCCGGCCCAAAACCCGTCAACACGGATTTTACCCGCGTTGACCGGGTTGGGTCGAGTCGGTCCCCGTGGGTTTGGGTTTTGTTGCCATCCTACTCGCCAGCCCACCTTTGGGGAGATGACACTTAAGGATTTCTTGGTGAAGGCAGGGGTGGTTCGGAAAGAACAATATGGCTCCGATCCTCCTCTCTTGCCTCCTCACAACAGTACGGGATGTACCAGTCCGTCACCGCAGGCGGCGGTGCCGATTCCGGTCTCCAATTGACGAGCAAGCTATCAGTCAAATCTTTCTTCATCGACGAACACTCCGGCCTCCAATTCCTAAACTAAAAAAACCCAGATCTGTGGTGTACGTCTGCTTCGGGAACTTGGCAAACTACTCGGGTCCTCAATCGAAGGAAATCGTGGCCAAGCTTGAATCCTTAGGGCGACAATTCATGTGGGTGGTCAGGAGGGAGAACACAATGCGAGGAATTGACGGCAGCGATGACCATTGGCTGCTGGTGGGATTCGAGGAGATGATGGAATGGAAGTTTTTGACGGAGATTCTGGGGATCGGGATCGCGGTGGCGGAGAGCCGGATGATGGCGGAGAAGGGTGAGGAGGCCGCGAAGATGAGGAGGAAGGTCGGCGAGCTTGGGCGAATAACAAGGAAGGCGGGTCTTCGTATGAGAATTTTTTCAATAATAGCACCATTTAAAAAAATTACAAAAATAGCACCCAGCCCACACAAATTCCAAAACTAGCATCTTATTTTCAAAACTACACAGTCGAGGTGCTGTTTACCTAGAAATCGCATACTGAGCAAGCGGTCCTCGCTAGGGCATCCCGAGAACCGCCCTCTAACACAGTGGTCCCCATGCACGACGCAGTGGTCCCTAGGACCTTTGGATTAAGCGACGATTCAATGACCAACCGCACGCCAGCGCAACGATCTGCATCAGGGATCGAAGACCGCTCGCTTGGGGAACGGTTTGCACCTCGGGTTCCGTGAATCGCTCCCTCCAGATGCGGTTTTGGTAAGGGTAAAATTACTAAACTACCCCTAGTGGGTGCGATCTGAAGACTATAAATACCCCACTCCCCCTCTTCTTTTTTTTTTCACACCACAACCCATTCTTCTCTCTCTCTCTCTCTCTCTCTCTCTAAAATTATCTCTCTAGCCATCCCCCTCCCCTCCCAAAAGCCTAGGAAATAGTGGTTTGTTGGTTGCGGCTAAGTCGATATGCCATCAGAAAACATTTCTTTGGGTTTTCCTTCAAAATCCGTCGAATCTCTGTCCGACTTTCGTGAAAAAATGGACGAGTGGTTCCAAGAAGAGGGAGTTTATTATGATGAATTTCAAGCGGTACGTACTCATTTTACCAAATTTTTGTTGTTGGTATAACCTTTTTAATTAATCTATGTACTAGCCTTGTTTTTATTCTCTCGTAGGTTAGGGACGGCGTGGATATCTACAACCAACGGTATTATGTTGATCAAGGACCTAGTGATCCAACCGTGTTGTACGACCAACGCAACCATCGGTCAAGGGATGTTTGGAACGATCACGAGGTACATACAATTCTTCATCATTTGTCTTTCTTTTATTTTGCTAACGTACTTAGTGGAATATAAAATAAATTTGATCATTTTTAATCGTATTGGTTATTTTCAATAATTTAATCGAATACACAGCGCCACTTACTTAGACTCTTTATAAAGAGATGCATGTCTAAAGAAATAAGATTTAAGCAATTATCATGATCCTCCCATTCCCTGGGAAAATCGGGTTTTAAGCGATCCTCGGATCCCCCCTTTTTCTGTCAAAAAGGCTGCATTTCTAAGAAGATGTATACCTCTTCTAAGAGTCTAACGAGTGTTGCATTGTATTCGATTAAATTATTTAAAACAACCAATTGGATTAAATTATTTAAAATAACCAATACGATTTATGTGTATGTGTACAAAATTAATTTTATTAATTTCAAATATTTGAATACATATCTCTTTAAATTATTATTCAATTAAAATGTTATTTATTTTAATTAATTGAGTATGTTTGTTTTATGAATTTATGTATATATCTTGGGAAAAACCTTGAATTGTTTTATATTGTTTGTTAATAATATAATTATAATAAAATTATGGTCAAAGTTAAATAATTTATTTTAATTAATTTAGTTATTAAAAAAACTTTTACTAGTATACCATAAATAATGTTACAATTTTCGCTAGTAGGCACACCAAATACTCGGCTACAAGGGTACGACCAATGTGCTCCCATGGAACAACGTTATCTTGCCATTTCTCAAAAAAGCACGGTTGGTGGCGATTAGACATTTTTCAGGCATATAAATCGATCGTCAACTCATCAACGCATTGGTGGAGAGATGGCGAAAAGAGACACATTGCTTCAACTTTCGCGAAGGAGAGTGCACCATCACACTATAGGACGTCGCCATCCTAACCCATCTGCCCATCGACGGCAATGCGGTTTGTGTGAGTGATCATCCCCCCGAGGATGTTGGCGATATGACCGGTTGGCAGAATTTGATCTATAGTGCTTTGGGGGTGCGAGTGCCTGTCAAGGGGAGCGTTCATGCGATGAATCGCTTAGCACCATTGAGGACCAACCAAGTATCAATCACTTGGTTGTTGAAGTGGATGCAGAACCAGCACGATCCTACAAAAGGCGTGGTGCCCCTGACCGAGGAAAGTCCAAAGGAGGTGAAGGAAAGATATGCTCGTGTCTATCTCATAGGCATGATGGGAGGAGTGTTCTTCCCCAAGAAATCTAACAATTTAATTAGCTGTGGATGGCTTAAGATCCTCCTTGGTAATTGGGATGCGATGGGGGAGTTGAGCTGGGCATATGCTTGCGTAGCTAATATCTACCACCATTTGTGTAATGCATCTCTCAAAGCTGTGAGGGAGGTTGGCGGCGCAATGTTCATCGTCCAATATTGGGTTTGGAAGCATCTACCATGGATTGCACCGGTCAAATGTCCCGACAGGAATTGGCCAATCGACGATCCCCTAAGAGGTGAAGCTTATGGTTGTAGGTAAACTTCTCACACCCAATCATGATTTTCATACAATAATTTCGTTTTTTATTTAGTTATAACATTTCATTATTGTCTTACTAATAAGGTGGGTTGGAGCCACAACATGCGACAACCTTTTTGAACACAAGTTGGCGGAGTATCGGAGGAGGCTAGAGTGACTTTGGGAAGGAGAGGTAACTATAATATTTCGAAATGTTATAACTTTTTTTGATTGAGTACATGTATTTTCCAATTTCGTTTAACTTAAGTTGATCATTTCTTTTTGTAGATCATTTACGATTCATACCTTGAGAACATCATTAATTGGCATTGCCAGCAATTCCCTGGTCATATCGGTCAATGGTGCACGAGAGTCCCTCTCATTTGTCACCATACCATGGAGTGGCACCTGTCGGATAGATGCCTCCGTCAATTTGGTCGGAAAAGATGCATTCCTTTGGAGGTCCCCGAGAGTCAAAGAGCGTTTCACCACTGAGATAGTCGCCAAGGTGATCAAGATTGGCCGTGACGTTGAAGGAATTCATAGCCATGTGGGAGAACCGACAAGATTTTGAGATTTTCACTTCGACAACTGTGGGTCGAATGGGGTATCATGACCCATACATGGATAGATGTCGACAACAATCGGTTCGGTACGTGGCTCCAGAGGGTGCGGCCGATGGTGCATTGGTAAGTAATTCCATCTAATCAATTAAAGTTATTGCGCATTTATGGACATATCATGAGTTTTAGCTTGCTAACTTTTTTATGTGATTTAGGTTGATGGGCTCGAGCGTATCAAATATATGACCCATGGTCAAGATCAACTGGTCAAGGAAGAAATGGGCTTGCTGAGGAGGATGACAAACAACCTGCTTGGGTGTATCAGAGCACGGTGTCGTGATCATCGTAGATACCCGCCCATGCCCGCACTAGTGCCACGTCTGATAGCTAGTGATGTCCCCAACCCCCACCGACATACCAGAGAAGGGAAAACAAGAAGACTCGGGAAAGACCGAACATGTCTGACTCACTCCGATTGAGGGGTGGAAAGTGTCGGGTCCTTTTAGTGTGACACGCGGTGGCGGTCCGAGCTACCATCAAGATCCCCACCCCAGCTCCTTCTATGATTCCCGCCCGAGCTACCATCAAGATCCCCACCCTGGCTACTCTTATGATCCCCGCCCGAGCTGCCATCAAGATCCCCACCCCAGCTCCTCCTATGATCCCCGCCCGAGCTACCATCAAGATCCCCACCCCCAGCTCCTTCTATGATTCTCGCCCGAGCTACCATCAAGATCCCCACCAGGGCTCCCCCTATGATCCCCGCCCGACATCCTACTACGATCCCCGCCAAGGCTCCTCCTATGATCCACGCCAGGGCTCCTACCACGATCCCCGCCCGAGCTCCTACCATGATCCACGCCCGGAATCTCAACAATTCCCTCGCCCGATCTCCTACTATGATCACCGCCCGAGCTACCAACAATCACCCCACCCGAGCTCCTACCATGATCACCGCCCGAGCTACCAACAAGATCACCGCCCGAGCTTCTTCAATGAACCCCCTACATCCTCGGGTACTTAGCATGATGGTTCCTCCACGACTGTACAACACGATTTAAATCTTCTTCCTCGCCCTCAGTAGCCGTGGCCTCCTACTCCTCATCGTATGAGCGTGGATGATCCCCGCACGACCCCGGAAGAGCCTCTTCCCACGGACCAACGCCGCCATAGCACCGACGAGAAACCTAGCATAGCAAGTCGAAATCTACCACTGGCTCCACCCATGGTTACACCCGTCAGTCATCGTACAAGGAGCAAGAAAGTGTTGCAACCCCATGAGTCACAGGGACTTCCTTGAGTGTTATTTTTAGTTTATTGAATTGAGTGTTGTTTTTAGTTTATTTTGAGTTCTATGTACTTGACTTCCTTGCTTTTGCTTTCGTGTTAACTTAAGTTTCGATTGTCATTTTCCAAATTCCTTGTTTTTAGTTTATTTCAGCGATGATAATGTGATTTATGTTGAAAAAAGAAATACATGGGATATCGAGAAAACACGCAAGTTCCAACCATCATAACTTCGACAATAGAGAAAACATACACAACAACTACCAACAAATGATCACCGCAAACTATGTCGCATTAGCTGAGTTCCCCACATCAGGCCCCGGATTTTGTGGTCCAATCGATCCATGACAATTTCGTTTATCATGCCCTGGTCCAGCGATTATGACTTTCACCTTCAAGTCAGGATCTTGCTCAATTAGATGCTTGATAGCCGCGACAACCACCCTGGATTACAACTATCGATGGCCTTGGGAAGTTCTGGATGACACACATGTGTATGTGTTCACCGCATGGGATATGACCCAATGGTCGTGTCTCTTGCTGTTGATGGCCCGAATCCTAACAATGCATCCCTCGTGTTGATTACGACATTTGAAAATGAGCCTCTTCATGTTAGAATGAGTTGTGTGTCATTCAAAATGTCGAGTCATTGCTTGAGTATCAATGGCGTACCGCACCTCCTTCTTCAAACCAAATTGTTGGCCCTTCATAAACCCAGTGAGTGGACCCCATACTGGGACCTCTGGCGGCTCCATGTCGGTGTCTATACACCAATTGTCGTCTGGAATGTGATTGTCGTACAGGATAGGTACACGGTCATGAGACTCCTCATCATCATCTAAGTCTGACTCTAGGCCTGAATCATCAGCACCTTCAAGAGGGTCAGAGTTCTCTGCACTGACATTGCTCCCTTCTTCTTCATCGGAGGGGTCACTAACTAGTGTTGGCAGGGCATCTTCCATCTGATCCAGATCATTAAAAACACCTTCATCAGCTCCGTAATGGTAGTTGTGAAAACTACCACTGCCTGAATGGAAGTTGTACTCGGGTTGGTTGGCATGGTCCCATTGGACTTCTTCTTCATATGATGGGAAAGATTGATGATGACCTTCACCTTGATCTTGGTACTGAAATTAGGAATGAGGCCATGGTAACTTTGGTAGGGATGATCTCCATATAATTCACCTCCACCATGGATACCAGATGTTTGACCGTCTCCAGAATGACCTCCAACGCCTTCGACCGCCTCGGTGTTAACGAACATCTCGGCTTTGGAAATATTATTGGACTTCAAGAATTCGAGCATGGCATATACTTCATCCTGAGTGGTTATGAGATATTCCTCATGCCACAACGACCCGCCTTTTGTGTTTGGATATCGGTACACCATACGAACAACTCTTCTCTTGCCATCCATGCAAGTAACGTCAGTACACATTTGATGGAGGTCTTCAAGCATCGGTCTGGTAGCGACCTTTATTTTCTGAATATTGCCACCGACATAGGTGACCCCCTTTCCGGTCTCTTCTGTGTAACCATTCCACCATAACCCAAGCGTGAACTTTTGGAATACCATCTGCAATAAAACCGTAATTTAGTTAATATCATAAAAATCACAAATCTCAATAAAAAGTAATACAAAATAAACTTACGAGTTAACGTTAATCGCAAAAACAATTAAAAAGTAGGGTGCTACTACAGAAAATTGAAGAAGAAGAAGATGGAGAGGTGTGAAGAGAAGAGGTTTCTCGGGACTGCCTTTTATAGGCAAAATCATCACTGAAAAACACAAGGGGAGGGGGCGGTTTTCATCTGCCATGCAGCCCCACGTCTGTCAACATGCTGGATGTCAGGAAAATGGGGACGACACACAAACCGCAGGGGGTGCGGTTTGTGTTTCAGCAAGGGCGAAACCGCATGTTGAGGATGCGGTTTATGTTGGAGAAACAGAACCGCAGCCTGAACAAGCGGTTTTGCTAGGTCAACCTACAAACCACATGGACAAGATGTTGTTCTGTTAGGTCAACCTAATAACCGCTCCACCATGCTGCGGTTTTGGCCCATAAATGCAAACCGCTCCCTCAGGATGCGGTTTACATGTAAACCGCACAGCCGAGGTGCGGTTTTGAAAAAAAAGGTGCTATTTTTGGAATTTGTGTGGTCTGGGTGCTATTTTTGTAATTTTTTTAAATGGTGCTATTTATAGAAAAATCCCCTTCGTATGGTAATATCATTGCTTTGATCGGAAAGCTAAAGCGAGACCTTCGCCGAAGGGAAAAGTGAATCACATCTGGATTTTTCTTTCCTCAAGAGTCAAGATAAAAGATCGGCGGGGTTAAGGGGAGAGAGGGACATGGCGGGACTTTCGCCGAAGGGAAAAGTTAATCAGATCTAGATTTTTCTTTCCTCAAGAGTCAAGATAAAAGATCAGTGGGGTTAAGGGGAGAGGGGGACATGCAAAGAGGAGAGAGAGGGTTAGAGGGCTGGGTTCATAGGTTGGTTGGGATTAAGGATTGGGTTGGTAAAGATGATGTGGCGAGTTAAAAAAGGGTGAGCCAGTACTTCTGTTAGCCACTTAAGCAATTGACTGACGATGTTAACGAAGACTAACGAAGAGTGATTTAATAATTTGAGTGACCAACATTGATATTAATTTTTTTTCCAATGACTAAAAATGACACATTTTAATAAACATAGTGACCAAACGTGGCATTTACCTGATTTCTTGCTTTGGTTTCAAGCAAAATACTCTGTTCTGAGACGTTTTCTCCGGGAAACCTCTTAAAAACCATAATATATTGCCCCATAAATTGATGACCAAGGGCTCAGTTTCAGCACAATTTTTATCGAGGGGATAATCTACCTAGTAACTCTAGAACTCAGAAAAGGTGTAAAAGTTTTATGGTAGTAACAATGAAAAAATTGGCAGCTTAGCAATTTTGCACTTAAAGTCGTCGTTTTTAATGAATAAGTTGAATCTTCTATAAACTTATGTCTTCCTTATTCTCTATCCTCATGAGTGTCTAGCTCATTAAGTTGCATATTTTTTTGATAAAAATATAGTAATTAATTATTTTTTTCCTTATTATGTTTATTGCCTTGGATTATATTTCTTTTTTTTTTGTAAAAAATGGGACGCTAAAAGGGCGCCCCTGCCTGAAACTTAGATTAAATGGGTTTGGGAGATTTCCAGAACGTCATACAAAATCCAAAAGGATAGACCCGAATCGGTGCTCTCAAAAGCATGGTGATTGACTCACTCCTACTGTCACTCTAGAAAATGGCCAAGTGAAACCACTTCCTAAAGCGTAGTATAGCGGGTTTGGGTTTTAATGTCAACCTGGGTCCTAGATTTGATGACTACTCGGTGAATTCTTGTTATCTAGCAATGAAACTTTAGTGCAAGTCCAAATTAACAAACAAACAAAGCAAGTTAAACGGTTGTTTTCAAGTCGAGAGAGGTCACCCGGATATGGTTCCCCCTAGACTGCAGTTAAGCAAGATTGCAATTTACCAAGTTCAGTTTCCATGAAAGTTATACTGCGGAAGGTTCTTAAACAGTCTGAAGTCTCGACTAAAGGTCTACAGACCCTCTCAATCTGAGTCTCCAGCGGGCGACTAACCTCCACCGGAGTAAACAGATTGAGGCCCTAACGAACCAAACCTCCACTACCGAATTGAATTCGGTACAGAATAGCGAATTGGCTCCTCGACTAAAGTCACCAATTCGCCACCTTCAATTAAGGGTGCTCTATCAACCTAGGCAGATATTCTCATTCTAGGTTAAAGCAGAAACAACAGGAATTTGATCAGGATTCAAGTCATTCAATCATTCAAGCCTCAATCGAAAATAATCAATTCATGAAATCTGTACTTGGGTTCATACAATCAGACCTAACATACAAATCTAGGGTTCTCAATACCCAGATGAATGGGAGAACTACTCCATGGAGAAAGAAGCAAAAGCAGATTCAGACGCGGATATCATACTGTGAAGGATGAGTTTCTGCTCCTGGTTGTTGATCGGCACTACTCCAAGCTCAAGCCAAGCTCCAATGGTGATGAAGATCAAGCTAGGGCACTTGGGAACTCTTGTTCGTCGCTTTCTCTCTCTAGGAATCGCTCTGTCTCTCTAAAACTCGAATCCCTTGATTTTTGGCCTTCTTTTCCTTTAAAAGGCTAACTGTCGCGATACCCGGTCGGGTATTTTGGCTTTAGACCGGGTATAATTGAAACGCGTGTTTTGCCTTAGGGAAAAATCCCCGGTCGGGGATTTTTGCCTCCAGCCCGGGCCCCATCTGTTTCTCACGGACGCCCAAAACAATAAATACCCGGTCGGGTATTTGAGCCCATGACTGGGTATTTTCCTCCTGCAGCACACTTCGACCCAACTTCGCTCCTTTCGACCCAAAACTCGTTTCTTCGCCTCGATTCCAACGCCGGCCCCTGAAATATGACATAAACGCACAACCTCGCGTGAAATTGGCTTAAAACACGAGAGTCAACCTCTCAAACGGCTCAAGAATAGGGGTAAAAATAGGTGTAATTATTGGTCTATCAGTGACCTATACTAACAGAGTGGCCTTTATTGGCAAGAAAATCAACCACTTTGTTTCCTTCTCTATAAATGTGGGAGACTCGGACCTCCCAGTTTCGCTGTAACAGACTCTAAAACTGAAGAACCAGATTATGGTACTTGTGCTCCGCTTGATCTTGGGAGGTAAGGATGTTGATAGCTGTAGTTGAGTCCAATTGGAGAAGGACTTTCCTATAACCTTTCTCCCACGCCATCTGCAGACCTCGAATGGCAGCCATGATCTCCGCACGGGTAATCATGCACATGCCGAGGTTTTCCACAAAGGCACCCATACATTTCCCTGTCCAGTCACGAACAAGGCCATCCCCTGCTGCTTCCGATCCTGGTTGCTTGACTGACCCATCGGTGTTGACACACATCCAATCATGTGGTGGTGGTACCCAGGCGAGCCGCTGTGCTGTCCTTATTGGCTTCTCTTTGTGTGTAGTCTCGTCATTCTTCTGAGCTTGCCTAATAGTTGTTGTCTAGCACCCGATGCGATGTACCAGAACATGATCAGCTTTATTCAAGTTGTGGAAGACCTTCTCATTCCTTATTTTCCATAGATACCAAGCTGCCACGCCAAACAAAAGCTTTCCTTTCAACTAAGAATGCCGACTTAGGAAGAAGAGGCAGCTATTGAATCAGCTGTTACTCTTAGGTATTTCACATAGTTTTGCCTAGCTGCGGCTTCTCTTCGAATCCAAACTCTTCCTGTGGGAAGCCAATGCGAATGGCTTTCGACCCCTTCCTGGTCCCTTTTGAGATGTTCATTAAGCCAAGCTGCAAACCCAAGGCCGCAAGTTAGAGTAGTCTCCTGAATACCCAGCCTATGCCAAACCTGTATGGAGCTCGGACACTGGCGCAAAATGTGTTCGGTGGTTTCCGGCCCGTTCCTGCACATCGGGCAATTGTCATCCATCGTCAGTTTCCTCTTCTTCTGCTGCGCATTCGTCATCAGCCTGTCATGAAAAACCAACCACAGAAAATGTTTAATCCTGTTCGGCCCCATCCATTTCCATAGATGCTTCTAGTGCTGGTGGTTGTTTGCCTCCTCCGTCTCATGCTCCTCGTCACTCAGCCATTCAGCAGCCGCTGAGTAGGCTGAACACAGCTTGAACTTTCCGTCTGGCTCCATCCCCCAAGCTGTAATACCTTCGCCTGATCCCGACAAGGGGGGATCCGTACCTGCAATCAAGGCAAACAATTTCTGAGTCAGGTGCGGCGCGAACTCCTGCCACTTCCACTCACCGTCATTAGTGGCCATCTCGGCAACAGTGGCATGCCAGTTAATTCCCTCGCCATTGCCTGTGATATGCTCGCTCAGGATCATCCCCTCAGAAAGCCAAGGATCTGTCCAAAATTGGACATTATGGCCTTCCCGAATGTCCCACACGACACGCTGCTTGAGGACTGGCCAAGAGTCCACAATCCCTTTCCAAAGTCGCGAGAAGTTGCTTTTCTTCATCACCAGAGCCCCTGTCTCATTGACTCTGAAGTACTTCCCTTGCAGGATAAGGATCCACAACTCATCCGACTTGTTCAGGAAAGCCCACCCCAGCTTCATAAGGTCGGATAAGTTGAGTGCTCTAGTGGATCGCATACCCAGACCACCAAGTTCCTTAGATTTGCAGATGGTTTCCCATTTTACCAAATGAGTCTTGGAGACCCCGTCTTCTGCTCCCCAGATGAAAGCTCTCACTTTCCTGTCAATGGTGTCGCAAATCGAGATAGGGAGAACTGCCGTTTGCATGGCATAATTCGGAAGGGTGTTAAGCACCGAGGTCGCTAAAGTAACCCTTCCAGCTAGGGAGAGACTTCTCGCCTTCCATCCTGAGAGACGTTGATCAATCTTCTCCAAGATAAATTTGTAGGTATCTTTCGTGACTCTGCCGTGAATAATTGGAACACCCAAGTAGCGCCCCAGGTTGCGTGTTTGTTTAATCCCCAGCATGTCACTTATACTTCTCTTCAGGTTCTCCTTGGTGTTTTTGGAAAAGAAGACACAAGATTTGTCTTTGCTAACTTGCTCCCGTGAGGCCTCACAAAACCTGTTAAGACAGTTTAGAACTTCTTCTCCTTGCTTAGGATCCACCTCCGCAAATAAGACCAAGTCATCTGCAAAAAAACAAATGAGTAAGTGCAGGGCTATCCTTAGCTAGAGTGATCGGTCTCCAGGCTTTCCTATCTATAGAGTCTTTGATGCAGTGATTCAGTCTTTCAATACGTAAAGTAAAGAGATAAGGTGAAAGAGGACATCCCTGCCGAAGACCCCTAGAAGGTTGGAAAGGTCCAGAGTATCCACCATTCCAAAGCACCTGGAAACGGACTGTCGTCACCCAAGCCATGACGAGGTTGACAAAGTCATCTGGAAGACCGGCTGCCTGCAGAGTTGATTCCAGAAATTTCCAATTAATCCTTTCATAAGCTTTGGCCAGGTCAATTTTCAGAATCATTTGTCCTTTGGCACCCTTCCTTAGTGACATTGTGTGGACCACTTCCTGAAGAATGATGATGTTGTCTGTAATATGTCTCTTCGGGACAAAGCTAGACTGGCTCGGGTCGATAGCTGAGGCATAAACTCTCTGAGTCGGTTCGCTAGACACTTTGCCAGGACCTTATGGCTCACATTACAGAGGTCAATGGGCCTGAACTGGGCTATTTGCTTCGGGGAATCAACCTTGGGCAGCAGCACCAGGAGGGTTTCATTACACCTCTTGATCCGCTCCGTATTCCTGAAACAATCCACAATGTGGTTGTGTAAATCAGCTCTCACCCAATCCCAACATTTCTGGTAGAAGGTAGCATGAAAGCCATCCTTTCCCGGTGCCTTTAGCCCTCTCATATCCTTGATTATCCGGTAGGTCTCCTCGGGGAGAGGGTTGGCTGCAAGATGCGACGTCCTTGCCTCGGTCAAGGCACTGAAAAATGCTGGGATATCTTGTTGCCCCGTGTTGTCCTCCGAGTAAAGCCGAACATAGAACTCCCTGGCCATAAGTATCAGCGTCTCTAGATCCTCTATCCAAGTCCCATCCTCCTGTTGTAGCTTGGTTATTCTATCTTTCCGTCGTCGCGTGAGGGCAACAGTGTGGAAGTAGTGGGTATTCTTATCCCCATTCACAATCTGATTAGCCCTCGCCTTCTGGAGCCACATGAGTTCTTCTTGCCATAAGGTTTATTCAAGTTCCTCACGGATTTGACCTTCACGTCTTAGGGAAGCTTCACTAGCTGCTGTCTCATTCTTAATCTCCAGACGGGTAAGCTGCTTTGACAGTTTAGCTTTCCTCCAAAAGATATTTCCAAACACCTCTTTGTTCCAACGTGTCAGCTGCTCTTGAAGATCCTGCAAAGACAACAAACAATCCCTTCCTCGGTTCCACGAGGCCTCAAGTGTAGATGGGAAATCTTTGTGAGATAACCACGACACTAGAAATCGAAAAGGTCTTACCTGCCTAGGAGGGGTGTGATCATTGTCACTGCAGATGAGAATTGGTCTATGATCCGAGCGAAGCTTGGACAGGTTCGTTGATAAGGTGTCTGGGAACTTCCTGAGCCATTCTTGGTTACATAGAGCTCTGTCAAGGCGCTGGGAGAGTCTCCCATTACTCCAGGTGAATTTAGGCCCAGTAAACCCGACATCTAACAGCCCACAATCACGAATGCACGCATTGAATCTAGTCGTTCTGCTCGGGTTATACGCAACACCCCCTGTACGCTCTGAGGGGCAGGTGATGGAATTAAAGTCTCCCGCCAAGAGCCACGGCTGCTCAAGGTTTTGTTCCAGTCTCCGAATAGCTGCCCACAGAGGAAGCCTGTCATGATCGTTGGGCTTGGCGTAAATAGCAGTCAAGATAACCGAGTTCCCATTTTGCTCTGTACACAAAAGATGGAGAAATTGTGAGTCACGATCCAATTCAGTTATCGCAAGATAAGTATCCATCCAAAGGACCCAAATACCACCAGAAAAACCAATAGCATCAACCACAATATGCTTATCAAACCCCATAGACTTAATAACATCTTATGCATCCTTGCCACTGATCCGTGGCTCTACAATGAAGACAATATTGGGTCTATGGTTAAACACATACTCCTTGAAAGTTGCAAGAAATTTTGGGTGTTTTGACCCCCGGCAATTCCAACTGAAAATTCTAAACATAGGAAATAGAAGAAAAAACGAGAAGAGGCAGCAAACTTCCCTGACTCGCAAAAGCATAAGGGTATCCACTTAGGTTGTCGACTCCGTCATCAAAGCGCCAATTTCCACCAGAACAGCCGCATTAGGTGGCTGCGAATTAGAAGCTAGGGAGGCCTCCTTGGTCTTTGGGCCCACCATCCGCCATATCTGAGTCGGGCCTGCAACTAGATTAGCTTTGTTTGGGATGGCCTCAGTCCCGTTAGATTTTCCCGAGTGTGTTGCAGCCTTCCCCTTCTTCAGCTCCCCTTTTTGTTCCTCCTTTCCTTTCTTGTCTTTCCCATTAACAAGATTACCTTGTTCATTCTCAGGATTCTTTCCAGATTTGATCGTCACTTTCCCGGGATCGCCGTTCCTGCCCGTTTGATTTCCTTGAGCGGCTCCTACATTGGACTGATTTCTTGTTGTGTTTATACTTCTATATGTATTCATGTGGATTGATTGTAACAATGATATTCATGTGATTGATTGCACAACATTGACAATACATTATTTGGTTGTTAACAGATGTAAAGTGCAAACGTGATGACATGATTGATTCGCTTCCCGCTTGCACCTTAGTCCATCTCCAAATGAAACATCGACCAGTAGATAGTAGGATATTGGAGCATAATAAGTATAGAAATCTGTGTGAATTTCCTCAATCACCTATATATATTATTTGTCGTGCTAATACATATTTAGGAAACTATAGAGGAAGCTTTGCCTATACAATGCCTCCTACTGTCTTTTCCTTGTCCTTTAAAGTAATTTCCATTTATGCACTCTTTATTTTTTTTTTAAAAAACTTTCCAAAATCAAGGCTCCTCAACCTCAACAAAGATTTTCAAAAATAACAACTCTCACTGGCTGACTAGTGGGATTTGACTAGGGTAGTCATTGACTTGTATAGCGGATCAACTACCCTAGATTACTGATAATGCACCAATTTCATTGATAGCATGCAAGTTGATAAGATTCATCGATAATCTTAATCCACCAAACTAGATGTAGATCACCTTTGATCTACCAGACAGACGCGAACATCCCTTGATCTGCCAAACAAACATGGATATCTACTGGATCTACCAAATAGACGAGGATCTCAATTTTGTAAGTCACAGGCCACACTAATATAGAAAGGTCCATTTCTTTGTTTATCAATTTGGTACTTGAATTGTCTCAACTAGTCGAGAAAATCAAAGGGACATTGTTGTTATATTGATAGAGATTATGGGGAAACTTTAGATGGTTAAATCGGATCGAGGACGAGAAGCAGACAGGAAGAGTGGAAGAATACAGGTGGGGACTGGGGGATCAGTGAATAATCTATTTGGTCTTTGTCTTGGATGCATCTAATCTATGTGTTGAGATTCGTCTGCATATACTTCGAGTTGATGCCACGACGTTGTAATCAAAGACCGATCAAACAAGACATAAAAAGAGTGCACCAAAATTCGCCGTCCTTATTCCCTTAGACTTGTTTCCTTCGATAAATAATGAAATTCAAAAGACGTGCTAAATTCTCTCAGTTTCACCATTAAAAAAGTGTAGCTTAGCTAGCTAATTAATTAGGCACGACAACAACACTACTTCCGCAGAATGAATGAGTGAATGTCTGTCTATCTTGTTTATTTTATTTATGCACAACTTTTTCAATACTATTCCCCTGCATCATATCCGTATATGCCAGCACTACTTTCACTAACTGTGTAACCACTAAAATAAACAACGGCTAGATCAAGTTTATAAAGTTATCAAGCGAACAGCTAGCTAGATCCATAATGGATTACAAATCATCAACGAATTTATAAACGAACAATACTATGGTAATAGAATGAGCGGTTCAATCGTAACTTGTTCAACAATCTCGCGTGCGCACTATAAAAATCACTCAATTCAAATACGAGATTCTTTCTTAGATGAAGTTTCAGCATTAATGTACTACCACTACAACTTTAACGGTTATAGTAAACCCGTAGAACATAATTACAGTCAGACTAATCTTAATGAAAAAGAGTAATTGCTTTTTGTTCATAAAACAAATTTGTAAAAAAAGAAATGAAGAGAATGACTGCGTTTTACAATGCCTACAAACAGGGAAGAGATTGATAGAAAGAGGAGAACGATCCCTTTGTACTTATTGACTAAACGTATAAATAGGGTAAAAAAAAGGCAATTTGCCCGCGTTTTATGGTGTCTGAACTCTGAATCTCATTGATCCTTCCGACCCGAAATCTTTGTTCTCTCCTCCCCTACCAAAAACCCTAAACCCGATTATATCAATAAATAAAATAAAATAAAATAAAAAGAAAGGAAGAAAGAAGGGAATTCCGACTATTGCTCTAATTCTAATACCTTCCATGCAAGAAAGAACCTTATGTGACACGATCTCTCTCCTCATCGTCCTCTCTCTCAAAACCTCTCTTTCCCCCTTTCCCTCATCCTTTCCTTAATTCTTTCCGTTACCGCCTTGTTTCTCGCCTCTGATCAGCAAAACCCTTCTTCTAATTCTAACTAATGGACGATAACCATCGTCGTCATAATGATCACCATAAAGATCACACCGCCGACGATCCCCAAAAGCAGCATCCGCCGCAGCTGTTCCCGTTTCTGTTACCGGCGGTTATAATTCGGAGGGAACTCGCCTACGCTTTTCTTTCCTTCTTTCTCCTCATCGGATCTTCCCTCTACGCCTTCGATCTCCTCGCCCCGCTCGACCCGGTCTCATACTTCCGGGTCGGGTTCTTGTCCCGGACCTTGCCGATCTGCCGGGACTACGGCGACGGCGACTGGGTCCGCGACGAGAGGAAGAACGACGTCGTCGGATCCTATGGCGAAGAATGCCCGTTTCTTGATCCCGGCTTCCGCTGTCGCTGGAACGGCAGGGCTGACGTGGACTATCTCAACTGGCGCTGGCAGCCACGTCACTGTAACTTACCCAGGTAGGTACGCATGCTTACGTGTACACATGAAACTTACCTTCATCCTTACGATCACGTAGCTACTAGCTAGAATCTGAAAATAGAAGAAATTGCTCTGTAGTTTCTGTTTTTGGATTGTCTACCAGCAAAGGGGTTTTTTCCCTGTTTAGTAGTTAACGTGTCATTTTCCCGCCTCGTCAGCAATCCACACTATATCTGTGTCAGCTTTTAAATTAAATTGTAATAAAAGTATTTGATTCGGGAAACCAGATTCAACGCGACTGACTTTCTGGAGAGGGCGAGGAACGGGAGGATAGTGTTCGCCGGGGACTCGATCGGCCGGAACCAGTGGGAGTCGTTCCTCTGCATGCTAGCACAGGGTGTCTCCAACGCATCCGCCGCCGCGATCTACGAGGTCAACGGGAAGCCGATCTCCAAGCACAGAGGCTTCCTCGTCATGCGGTTCAGAGACTACAACCTCACAGTCGAGTACTACAGGTTGCCCTTCCTGGTGATCATCGGCCGGCCGCCTCGAGGGTCGCCCCCGGAGGTCAAGATGGCGATCAAGGTCGACCAGCTGCACTGGTTCTCCAAGAGATGGGTTGGTGCGGACGTGCTGGTGTTCAATGCTGGACATTGGTGGAACGAGTACAAAACCATCTACATGTACGAATTGGCTCCTTTTTCGTCGTACCGGGCAGCAGAGCACGAATTCTCCATGGAAATGACGTTTGTTTATTTGCTCTGTTTTACCTCCAGGGGTCACTATTTTGAAGAAAATGGAGTAATAAACAAGACGATGGGGGTTATGGAAGCGTTCCAGAGGTCGCTTCAGACGTGGAGGAAATGGGTGACTGAGAATTTGGATCCTGAAAAGAGTCATGTCTTCTTTCGTAGCTATTCCCCTGCTCATTACAGGCATGTTGGCTCTCACAATACAGAACATCCATACCCTTTTCTTTTTACCCCTTTCGCTGCTTGAATATGGATGACTAAACGCTGACACTGTTGCAGGAATGGGACGTGGAAAGATGGAGGGCACTGCGATCTGGACCTGCAACCGGAGGCGAACTCGAAGCTTGTAGCTCCCGAGCCAGCAAACAATCGACCGATTTCTGAAGTGATTACAGAGATGAGACAGGGAAACTACAAGAGAGTTGAGTACTTGAACATTACACATCTGACAGAGTACAGGAGCGACGGGCACCCATCTCGCTACCGTGAGCCGGGGACCCCGCCGGACGCTCCTCAGGACTGCAGCCACTGGTGCCTGCCAGGAATCCCAGATGTGTGGAATGAGATTCTGTATGCTCATTTGCTGTCGATGGGATTCAAAACCAACAGATGATGAGGCAAAACTTTCTTTTTACACTCCCCGGAACGGATGTACATAAGATGAGGGGACTTGTTTGGTTGTAAGGATTAGGATGAGGGCTCAACGCTTTCCTGGGGGTCGACTTCAGTGGCTTCTGTTTGCTTCACTTTTTCGAGCTGTCTCAAGAGATAGAGCCTCTCTGGTCCGTATGTCGAAGGTATCTGCCAGGCAGAAGGGGAGAAAAAAGAACAAAAACAGTTGGAACTTGAACATAGGAGATTTTGTCATAGTATATAAGAAACTTGAATAGGAGGGTGTACAGTGTCGAGAATCACTTACCATACCCGGTGCATATCGCTGAATAGCAGCTAGAATTGCTGCATGGCCAACTGCAGTAACCTGTTGATTCAGGAAATGAAAGATGAGAATAACGGCAGGGGAAATGGCAAATTTGGATTCTACACCCAACTCAGGTTACAGCTTCTACGGCTAGAAAAGCATATTTTGGTTAATTCTGACGAAGTATTATTGTCTAATAAAACCTAGCAGTAAAACTAGATAATGCATCAGAGATTGCCTTGGAAGCCCAGCTATTAATCTAGCGAAAGATGAGAGTCAACGGAAGGCATGATCAACACCGCAAGTAGTATTTAGATAATTAGATGTGTAAAACTTACAGGAAGAAGCATGAGAACACCAATAGGAACCACAGATGCCACATCGGTCACAGTTCTTTGAAGAGCACGTTTCTCTTTCTCTGTTAGCTCATCTCCAATCAAGGACCTTCTAAGCAGTCCCATAGCTGCGCCAACATCAATTGCTAGGAGCTGTGTTCCTTGCAAGACATCCTATTCACAGTTTTTCAACCAAATTAGCAACTGATTACACACAGCATCAAGAGTATTGAGTTATTGAATAGAAAGTAACGGACCAATCCACTAAGAGTGCCAAGTGTCTATTACTTCCTATGAAAGTTCTGATGATTTTTGGTTGATAAGAGTGGATGACTGCCATTTGGTTTGATAAATTCTGTGGAAAAACTAAAATTGCAAGGAAAGCAAAAATGACGGAACAGGTTTGCAAAAGAAACAATTCCAAAATAGTCGACTTGATGGCATGTTCAGTAGCCATCCAGAAGATCTGGACTGTCAAACGCTGATTTTCCTTGAAAATACTACTATGGCTTTATCTTCAGAAAAAGAATTCTCAGGTGT